CAGCCCTGCTCAGGGACCTGCCGCTGCCTCCCCACCTCCAAAGCATTATTTGTCTCCTGTAACATGAACATTCTGTGCCAACACACGGTGACGTGCCCGTGCTTTGGTGGGTGCCCTCATCTGGAGCTCCTCGCAGGGGCCACCCTCAACTGAGCAGTGGAAGGGGTCGAAGTGCACAATCCCAGTCGGACCAGGGCAGTGCAGATCAGGGGGCCACCTGTGGCGCAAGCCCCTTCCCACACCCAATTGCTCCCAGGGCAGTGAGCTGTTTCTGCTGGTGCTGGAGGTGAAAGTTTCGGGAGGGTAGAACCCAGGGAGCAGCATTGGGGCACCACACACCATTCCCGAGGGCAGCCCTAACATTGCTGTATGGGTGCCCACCTCTCACCCAGGCCCCTGCACCCAGGATCCCTTTCTTCCTGCCCCAGCTTTCAGGACTGTATTTAATCCTGTGCAAGTCCTGAGCAGCTCCCATCCACACCTGCCACAGCAGCTCCCAGCCCAGTTCAGCCCACTGGGGATCCTGCTCTCTTCAGCCCTGGAGCTTGTCCAGAGGGGATTGGGGCATCCTGTGACCAAAGCCTGTTCTTCCTCTCACCCTTCAGCTCTGTCCCACTTAGGTAGTGCCACAGTCACATCAAGCAGCATCCCTACAGCTCCATTACTGCCCTGTCCCAGCAGTGCCCTGCAGGAAGGAGCTCCCAGCAAGCTGGCCTGCTGGAAGCTGGGGAAGGGAGGTGAGAGGTAGGGAGGGTTCAGACCTCCTAGCACCCAACTGAGCATCTCCACATCCACCTCACTCTGCAGAGCTCCAGACTCACCTCTGCACCAGATCAAACCACAGGATTGATTTCATCTCTGGCTGTAAGCCAGAGCTGCAGTCCTCCCCGGCAGGGAGGGGAGCAGCACTGGGAAGGCTATGACTGCGCTGCCTGTTCCCCCAGACACTCCAGGCATTCCTATTAATTACACTTCCAGAAGGAAGAGGGTGCTGCAGCTCCAGTCACACCCAACCCAAATTCACTACGAGCTGGTAAACACGCAGCAACTGCCCTGTGCAACTGAAGGGTATCAAACTTTATTATAGATCTCTTTAAAACAGGCTGGAAGGAACAAACAGAAATGTCATTGCGATGCAGTGACTGAGGTGTCACTTCAAATGCAGACACTGGGTAAGCCCCAACTCTCCCACATTATTTATATATAAGATATCCCACCCGTTCCCAAATTGCTCCAATGAAATGATTGCATTTCAGAGCACCTCAAGTGCCTTAACATTAGCACTAAACACCAAGACGCACATGGGTTCTGGCAAATCAGATGCTGTATTTTGGGGGGCTTAGTTCCTCAATCTCTGGAAAGGAGGAAGGAAAACACAATCAGGAGAATCACTTCTTTAAGGTTGCTTTTTTACAGCAGGTACAGATTCAGCAGATTTCCCCCCCAGAGCAAGTCTGAAACCCTCTTGTTCAGCTTGGCAATATGAACAGAGCTCCTGCTGGTCAAGGAGAACCAGCCAGACGAGATCAGTCTAAACAAACTGATTTCGAGGCTTTGTTGTCATTTCCCTTTGGGGCCGGTTTCCAGTGGTTTTCCAATATCCTTCCCACGCAGTTTAAGGCCTGGAACAAGACAAAGGAGATGACCGCTACCAGCTGCCATCAGCACTCCATCATTTGCCTGATATAACTTTATGTCCTCACACGTTTGCTGTATGGAAGAGAACATCCAAGAACATGTGCAGGGGACCCAGAGGGAAGGAGAATCCTACTTTCGATTCTAGGAGCACCAGACTAGTTTCAGAGAGCTCCAACTCTTGTTTGTGCATCATCTTCTGAGAATATGGCATCTGAATTGGCCTACGAGAGTGGCAGGCAGCAGACCTAGGTTTTACCAGAACAAAGCTGCACCCACAGTAACAGCAGCCAGCGACTGTTCCTGATGTGGAACATGGAAACAACTTAAACCAGAACACCCCTCTTAGGCACTGAATCCGTGTCATGTATTTTGTTCCTTTCTCCACTTACGAATGGCTCTCTCGATCTTGCCCATGACCTGGTTGTTGGGGATGGCTCGTCCCGACTCGTAGTCAGCAATAACTTGCGGCTTTTCGTTGATTTTCTACAAGAAGAGGCTGAGTCTCAAACAGTGGCTCCACACACTGAACCCCTCAGCTCAGCCCTGCGCTGCTCACACACATAACAACAGCCTCAAATTATGCCAGGATCAGAAGACAAAGCCCCACTTCCAGGCTCACTCCACCAACATTATTGCCTCCCTCCCCTATTTGGGTGTCACAACAGTGGTGACACCTATCCTAGACAGGCTGCTACTTTCCTCAGCCTCCCAGGAGGAGCAGGAACACCCCACACTGCTGTTCCTTAAGGCAGCAGTGGGCTTCTGAATGCTGTCAGGCGCAGGTGGTACCAACAAAACCTCATGTCACTGCTGAGATGATGGGAGAAGGGCAAAACAAAGCCTCTCACCAGCCGCACCAACACTCCGTCTCCAAGCAGTGTTCAAGGGCTGCACAACCCCTGAACTATTCCCCACGTAACTAACCCTGCCTGGAGAGCAGCACCAGAGATGCCACGGTCACCAAACTTCCTGCTCATGATACCACCCCACTGCAGCTCCCACGAGGAGACCCAAAAAGTGTCCACCTTCACCTAAAGCTGCGTGGGGAGAGTGGGAGCAGGGGCTGTACTCACGGTGGCCAAATCCTTCTGGGTCATGCCCTTGCTCTGCCGGCCTTGCTGGATCACTTTGCCCACCTCCAGGGGAACTCTGTCATGGTGCAGCTCTTCTGTCTCCCGATCGAGCTTGGCTGTGTTCTTTGTAATGAAGTGTTGTTTGTTCTGGCCTGCTGCCCCTATCACCCAAAGCAAGAACAAACCAAACCAAAACAAACCAAGGACAAACAAAACAAGGCTCAGGCTGTGCCAAACAGTATCAAGGTGCTTCTTCTAAGCACTCAGCTGCTCAACGTCTCAGGGAGCTTTCAAGATTCAATGTGCCAACATCAGCACAAATCCCAGCCAGATCCTGCCCGTCAAAGAACACCTCATCTTAATCTATTTAATGCTGGTGTCTAAACACAGCAATGCACAGCCCTCCCCCCTCTCTATTTCCCATCCAAGCGTCACTCCAGACAAGCAAGATCTCACTTTGGCTTGGAGATTTATCGTTCAACTTCGGTCCAGACACACATTTGTGCTACAGCATATGGGGGGTAATATCTGAACTTGAACGGGGTTTGCTCAGATATAAGGCAGCACGAGAGTTAGCTTTTAATCAGTTTTCTTATACCTTCTATAAGTAAACTCCAACTACTCAGCTCTGCTGAAGGCCTAAGGTTCAGAACATGCTGTTTGGTTTGCCTCAGCACTCTGAATCTTTTCTCCTGCATGAGTCTCTGACAGACTCTTGCAAAACTGACTAAACCTCCTTTGAGGATCACCTGTTTATTTATTTCCCACCATCCTGATCTCATCCCTATGGTGGGAGATGCTGAGAATTTACATCAGAGGAACCGGTGTATTTTTGAAGACCAATGCCGCAGAAGAGCCAGCAGTTAAACCCTGGACAAATATCATCGACACGAGAAATAAGCCGCAGAAATGGGGAGTTCTGTGATCGTAAAAGACCCCCCGAGATCTGTGCTCAGCTCTGGACAACCAGAACCCCAGCTCCGGCTGCAGGGAGCATCCCCGTGGAGCCGGGCAGGGCTCGGGGCTACGCGGCCGCAGTAAGGATGAGCTCGGGCTCCGCGGGGGGTGCTCCTTCCGTCCCCCGCTGCAGG